GTGAATGATTAACGTGCGACCTGGAAGTATATAAGGGCGCCTTGCAAACATGACAAATCACCTTATCGTCTGAAGGGACTGTACGGCAGGCAAGCCCCGAGGCATGGCAGGGAGACGTATTGTCTCGTTCCCTGTTCTCAGGGAACAAAGGTTACATTTGTAACCTGAGACGTTCCCTTTCGAAGGGAACTCAACAATACGTCATCGACGTTATGGGGAACGATATACCCACGCCGCCATGCTGAGGGGAGTGAATGCCCTCAGGCAGTGACAACTGTCAGAACCAGCAATTTCAAATGAAACGCTAGAACCACTCACCGTCAGGTCATACTGGGCTGTCAGTGACAGCATTCCCTACGGTCATAGCCTAAGCTATAAGCCACACAGGAAAACCTCCATAAACATAGTTAAATGAAAGGACTACCTGGGCCTGCTCAAAGGCCTAGGACCACAACTTCAATTAGAAGGGGTCCCTTCTAGGGAATGTGGCTAGGGAACCCGAAGGAACCCCAGCCAGTCACTATTCAGGGGAACGTACTCACCCCGAAGTGCCACCAGGACGGCCTGACCTGGTGTCAGAGCATAGACACTTAGTCTGGCCACTTCCTGTCTGTCCGAAGACAGAGCCTCTGGACACTTTGCCTTAAGTAAGGCATCCAACCCGAGGGACTGCGACGCTGGCAGTGAACCACTCGGCCCGGATCTCAGAGACGGGATATCCCGGAGAGTATGACTCAGCATAGTGCTTTATGACCCTTGCTAGCGAGGGGAGTTTCTCTACTCGATCCATGGATCAACCCAGTGTTTGCAAACACTGAGGAGGCCTGTGAAGGCCTAATGGCTGATCTAACCGGGAGGCCTCACAAGAGGCCTACGACCGTCTGACCAGACTCAGGAAGCCGCATGCTCATAGAGACCCTCAGTGAGGGGAGCACAAGGTCTGCCTGGTAGGCAAACCAGGCTGTAGGCAGGAAAGGTTCCAGGAGGGAACAAATAGCAGAGAATAAACACTTTAGCGAGCCAGGGCGCAAGCTAGCCCTCAGCAGCTGCCTATTAAGGCTAGCTGAAACTGATAGCAAGAGGCCACTAGCTTCATAAACCCAGCACCATTAGAGAAACATTACAGGGAGGCCCGGAGAGGCCTACTACCTGATAACCACAGTATGTGGGGAGCTCACCTTCAGGGAGGCCTGGTGAGGCCTGCTACCTTACAACCACAGTATGTGGGGAGCTCACCTTCAGGGAGGCCTGGTGAGGCCTGCTACCTTACAACCACAGTATGTGGGGAGCTCACCTTCAGGGAGGCCTGGTGAGGCCTACTACCTGATTGCTACAGTCTGTGGGAACTCACCTTCAGGGAGGCCTGGTAAGGCCTACTACCTGATAGCAACAGTATGTGGTCACCTACAGGGAGGCCTAGAGAGGCCTACTACCTGATAGCGATAGTACGTGGGGAACTCACCCTCAGGGAGGCCTGGTGAGGCCTGCTACCTGATAATCACAGCATGTGGGAACTCGTTTTCAGGGAGGCCTAGTGAGGCCTACTACCTGACAGCCATAATATCTGGGAGCTTTTTACTGCTACCCGATAGTAAGCCAGGCTAGCTGTCCAGTTGCCCGTCCTTGGGCTTGTCTCTTCAGGGAGGCCTGGTGAGGCCTACTACCTGATAACCATCTTAAGTGGGAATTCACCCTCAGGGAGGCCTGAGGGGCCTACTACCTGATAGCAACTGGTAGCTGAGTCCGGGTGACAGTTCCAAGGCGGCCTGCTAAGGCCAGCCAGCTGGGGACTCGCCTATCAGGGAGGCCCGGTTGGGCCTACTAGCTGATAGCAAGTCAATTCTGCTACAAAGGAACACTGTTGGGAACCATACTACACCAATGTAACTATTGGGCCCACCCACAGGAGGCCTAGTACGGCTAGCTACCTGTAGCGGCATTAAAGCATGACCCACAATGTTGGGACTCACCTCCGAGGAGGCCTGTTTAAGGCCTACTACCCACCGGTGAGTCAACTGCCCGAACCACCAAGGCCAACCAATTCTCTCGAGAAGTAGCCTATAGCGCCCTCTTGGGGGCTGCTCATACAAGGAGGCCTGCTGAGGCCTACTACCTGATGGCGCAGCCTTCGTTGGCAGATAAGCTGTTTACACAGCGCCTACAGCATCCTGGTGCCTAATCACATTGCCCATGGCAGTGTACTCAGCATAGAGAGCTAATACCCTTAGAACAAGGGGAGTACAACATACGTCACTCTGCCTCAGTGGAGGCCCCAGTTAGTCAGGGGCCTACCATCTATGCATGGGCGTCAGCACAGGGCAATGCTCTGGCTTCAGGGGAGCGAACTTCGACCAAAGAAGAAGTGAAGGCTTACTTCATACTCGACCCGAGCCATAGTAGTGCGAGGTAGGATAAAAACAGAACTGGGAGTGAAGTGCTCAGACCTACCCTGAATCACAGGGGAATACTCACACCTCACCCTGAGTTTACCAGGGTGCGGGCCTGCCAGCGGCTCTAGGGGTAACAGAAAAACATCTGTGCCCAACCTAGGGGAGTGGGGCTTGAATGAAAGCCAACCACCTACAACCCACAGCCTGAGCAGTAGCTCAGCAAGGTATTAGTGAAGCCTACACTGGCGGCCTAAATCCGTAGGCCAGTTCTGCACGGCAGGGTCGGGCAGGAGACTCAGTCTTCTTCGTGAAGCGAAAGACGGCCTAACCCTGCTCAAAAGGACTTATATACCACGGAGGCCTAACTGAGGCCTACCATGTCCTTATAAACCATCCTCTGCACCACGCTGCATTACTCTAGTCACCCCAGAATGCAGAGAAGGGGGCGGGCCTTGGCCTAACGACTCCCATGGGAGGAGGCTGATTATACAGGGATGCCAAAACCTACATTCACAAAGTGAAGGGTCAGAGGAAGAAATGCTAATTTTAGCAGAACGCCTCTAATATCCCTGGCACAGCCTAGGCCAGCTACAGAGGCGGCCCTGGTGAGGGCCAACCTGTAAGCATAGATCTATCTGAGGGCTCAGAGGAGCCACAGCCTACTAAAGAATATAGTCTGTATTATTCCATACAAAGGGCTGCAGAACGCTCAACCTAATGAAAACTCAACAGAGCTCAAGGGGCGAAATACTCAGAAAAGTCAAAACGGTCCCATGGGCCGGACATAAGATCTATCTGAAGCTCTAGCGTCAGTCAACACTCTAAGTAAACATTCTATCAGAGAGAGACCAACTACTCTACCCTGAGGTGGCTAGTAGCCCGAAGGCTAACATAGTTATCATTCTGGCCACCTAACGGGGAACTTCAGGGCCCTAATAATCCAATAAAGTTACCTTACCTTTATTACCTTGACATGACCCCATAACTCTTTATACAGGGAACGAGGTCTGTAAAGAGAAATATGTTATTTTTTATCACAAAAAATATACTCCTTGAAAAGACCAGCAGCTCACCTGCGGCGTGCAAAGTGAAGACTCACCAGACAGTTCTTCATGAACATGGGGTCTACCACCTTTACATACCTGAAAGAGGCACTCTCACTAACCAAGCCGAGGCGGGCCATCAGAACATTGTTCTAACCATGAGCCCAGCCTCAGGCCTGATGTAAGAAGCGCCTGGGGAGTCGGGGAAGAGAGGAAAAGGCAAAGATATAATCACGCCCTCAGGGAAGATGATCCAAGACCAACGCAACGTGCGTTTGTGCCGGATCACCTCCCTCAGATCCCTCTTCCCATCCACGCATACCCACGCTCTCCTATCCTCTCAACATCAGCGAGCTAGCCCGCTGATGTTGGTGCACTGTAAAAAATTCCTGTAAATTTACATGGAAATTTAGCAGCAAAATGCTGTTTTCGTGTAATAACTGTAAGTTACTGTTTTTTGCAATGCATTATGGGAGAACTTGGTCGCTTCAAATTTCGTCTTGACCAGCAACAGTATGACACTGTTATTTAACAGTATAATACCATATTTTCCCATGTACATGTGAGAAGACATTTTAGTTTATCTGCATGAGGTCATTTTGCAGCTCTGCCTGTTATTCATTTATTTGTAAACTATTACTTTTAAATATTAGATTTTAAACATCCAGGGATGTTTTTGTGATTTAAATCGGATGAAGCGACTGATTTAATCCACAAGATACCACAGGAACGTGATCCCATTGTAGGCTACAGACTGTCGACATCACATTCAAACGAAAAGAAACTTTTATCCAACTTCACATTTTCCTAAAATGTATCTGAGTAAAAAAATTAGTATGAAATGTTTTGTCTTCTTCTGTGTTTTATTGTGTGGTTACAATTTTAATGTGAGATTCAAACCGTCCATTATCTGCTACTGTTATTTGCAACTACGTATTTGATTTGATCTGTAGCCTGAGTTACCAAGTAGGCTACCTCTAAATATTTACATACAGTATAAAAATGATCCAGTGAAGTGTAAGATGACATGAAAGCGTGTTTTAATCATGGAAAAAGTAACCGAGTAAAATATGATAGCTTGTTTGTGAGCTCGTTAGCATTCTCAGACTGCATTTGGTTTGCTACCGTCACATGCACACTTTATGCATATGCAACGGACACATGTCCCAATCTTTATCTAAGCAAAAGATACGTGAGGTATGATAAAAATTCATAATTCTTGTGTAATTACTGTGAACGTGCGTGTTCAAACCGCTGCAGAAATAGCAGCATAACAGATGGACGGACGGAATGTCAATCATTTTCAGATTTTTCTTTTTTATTGAGACTTTATTTTGTTTATTTATTTTTTATGTATCTCTTCTTTACATTATGTTTTTCTTGTCATTGTAGTTCAACTCATGAAGGCTTACTTTGTAGAGAAGCAATGACTGCTTCTTTAAGAAACTGTAAGTTTGCCTATTGTTTGTTCTATGAACACCTGAATAGTAATTGTTCACCTAAAAATGGGATTTCTCTCATCATTTACTTAACCTTATGTTGTCTCTTTCTCTTGGAGGATAAATTAAGATATTGTCGTGGAGAAATGATGTCTGTTGGGTTTGCCCAAACAATGGAAGACGAATGGGGACCAAACCTTCAAGCTCCAAAAGGAACATAAAGGTACAGTACAATTAAAGGGATAGTTCACCAAAATTAGCCCATGATTTACTCACCCCGAAGCCATAGGTATATATAACATTCTTCTTTCAGAAGAATTCAATCAGAGTTATATTAAAAAATGTCCTGGCTCTTCCAAACTAATGGCAGTGAATGGGCCCCATTTTTTTGAAGTCCATACAAGTGCATCTATCCATGATAAAATTGTCCCAAACAGATCAGAGGGGTTAATAAAGGCCTTCTGAAGTGAAGCGATGCGTACTTGTAAGAAAAATGGCCATATTTAAAACTACGCCACAAGAGTAACACTTAAAAATGTATGACATAGATCATGTAGGAGTAGCAGGAGCTTTGACGCCTCTCTCAGTTCAAACACACAGCGCTGGGCAACTGCGTTCGTCATTACGTTGTGTGTCAAGTTCAAATATTATTATTTTGCCGTAAATCAATGTGTATGGCCTTCTGCAGGAAACTAGTTATTTTAGTTGATAAAGTTTTAAATATGGATATTTGTCTTACACCAACACATCGCTTCACTTAGATGTCACTTAGATTAGGCCTAGATGTACGGTGAAAAGTGTTTGGTCTGTTCTCACCCAAACAAATTGAATCACTTCAGAAAACTAGTTAAACCATGTGACCCATATGAATTACCTTTATCCTTCATTTACTATGACTATTGGTGTTTGAAAGTTTGATCCCCATTCTCTTCTTTTGCATTGTAGGGACAAAAAGACATTTCATCCCAATGAAAATATCATCTTTTGCATCATTGGAGTTTAAATTTGAATAAGGGTGAGTAAATGAGAAAATTATAATTTTTACATAAACCATTCATATTCTGAATGATAGGCCTATTGCCTCTGTAGAATATAAGCAACAAGTAGCACATTAAGTTTTAAAAATATTATTTGCAGATACTGTCAGTCATCTTAATTGTTTTCTTTACCAATAGATGTCTGCCACTCCTGCTGACCTTGAGAAAATGCTTCCCTGTGTCTCCTTGTTTTATCCTTCTTGGTAAGTATGTCATATTAGCAGGGGCGGATCTAGAAAAATATTTATGGGGTGGCAAGAGGGGGGCAGGAATTTTTGAGGGGTGGCAACATGGCAGACGTATATATATACTAAATTTAATCACAGTCAACACAGTTTGATGAGAAATCGTATGTATACAAAAGGGCATTATTTGTATTATTATTTGTATCTTTTTTTGTGGGGGGGTTTGGGGTCACCTGTGAGTACAGGGCTGGACTGGGACAAAAAATCGGCCGGGGCATTTTGGCCCAGACTGGCCCACTACATATGATCATAAACACAACCGAACTTTGCACTCCCTTGAATATGTATACCAACTCCTATAAAAACCACTAATGTCATAAGTGAATAGGAGTGAGTAAGAGTTAACAGATGAAATAACTACTAAGTTGAATTATAGCCCCACTCCACAGTGATGAATGCTAAAACAAGCTATAAGCTGCATTGGGATAGCAATAGCGTTTTTTTCCCACAGGATTTTGGGAAATCTGCGGTGAGTGCACCTCTCTCTCTCTAGGGGGGTTCGGGGGCATGCTCCCCCATAAGAAAATTTTGTGCTTTTTAATGTTAAATTCATCAATCTGGTACACTTTGAGAGTTCAAAATAAAGAGCTCCAACCCATATTCAGTGTGCAAATTGAACAAAGAAAAACTCAAAACTCTTTTAGTTGTGATATAGTGTCTGTCTACATTACACTACTATATAATAATAGTTATAATATTATGACCAGTCCAGCCCTGCGTGAGTATAAAGGCAGGGGTGCGTTTAACTTTTGGAGCCAAGGTGTGCCGACCTTTTTTCCCTTTTTTATATATATTATTTTGTTGAGCACCCAACTTGAGCGTTTTACTGTGGAATACTGTAGGCTACTGCTTATAAACACCAGGCAGATATAATGATATGAAACAGATGTGCTTTACTCATCTCACTTGCACAAAATAAATGCAGTAATATAAAGCATAGAAACGCACAGGTGAAATACACTGAAAATGATATGCATTTAAAAATTTGGTCGGGTTGAAAACTTATCTCTCTGGTAATGGAAATCGGTCGCTGTTGTCTCTTGCTGTCTCCCGCTCTCGCGGTCAGATCACCGGAAGTTTTCGCCGGAAGTATTTGCCCACACAATAAAGTACGAACGTCAACGGTCGTCATATTGTGCACGTAGCGAATTCACTGCAGTCGGACATGGGAGATTCGCGCTCGTAAATTGTCAAATTGGCCATAACTTTTAATTCGTTGCTGCCAACTAGGGTGGCAGCAGGGGTGGCAAGGCTTTCTTTTAGGGTGGCATTTGCCACCCTATGCCACCCCGGTAGATCCGCCCCTGCATATTAGATATGTCTGCATTTTGTTTCACTAAAACAAAGCTCACATTTCCAGACTGACACGTAACTTTCCTTTATCAGAAGATCCACATTTATAATATGCCTCATGCTAGAATCCACTGACTATACATGTACTCTGTATGACCTGTGCAGTTTCTTCCAAGTCTTCAGTTAATTATCCAGTAGTTTTTGGTTAGACATTTTTAGATAATCAAAATTATACACTGCAAATCATTTAATTGAAAATGTTCTCCTCTTATTTTTCAGATACTTTATTGGAATAAATCCGTAAAAGGGGACCAAAGCTGCACGGAGAAAAGAGGTGTGTAAAATAACTGGGAAAACTGTGCAGAAAAGACTTTAACCATCAGTCCAAAAGTATCAAATACTGATATTTATTTTATAAACTATTTGTTTTGATATAAAATAATGGGCTAGTGTTCACTGAAACCTGACTTGAAAGTATATTTGTATTTTATGAACAGTTAAGGTATGCATGCATGTAATTATGTATGCCTGTTTTAAGGCATATTGTAAAAGTCTATCTAGTGTTGTATGAGAATAAATCTAAAAGTTTATCTAGTGTTGTGTTGTTCTCTTTTTTTATCCACATAACAGAAAATGCAGGGTATAATATGTATTTAAAATTGAGATGGGGATGTGAGTAGTAACAACTACTATGATGAGCGTACAGTGATGGCAAAGGCTCTAAATGTAATGGTGCGTTCAAGCCATGTCGGAAAGATCGTATTTACGAGTTGCACATGACCTCCACCACATTGTCGTTAATACGAGTGGAAAGCTTGGGATTTTCTTTAAGCCCTGCTGTTTATGAGTTGGGGGCATGTCAGTGAGAAACAAGGCGGAATACCACAGTACTTAAAGGTATTTACACTGTAAAAAAAATAATCCTGTAAAAAAACGGTAAACTACTGGCAGCTGTGGTTGCCAGCATCATACCGTAAAAATACGATATGTTACTGTTTTTGAAATTTACAGCTAAATACCGTTTTGTCAGCTACAGCTATATGCTGTTAATTTACAGTTATATACTGTAATTTAACAGCATATAGCTGTAGCTGACAAAACGGTATTTAGCTGTTAATTTTAAAAACGGTAACACACCATATTTTTACGGTATGATACTGGCAACCACAGCTGCCAGTAGTTTACCGTTTTTTTACAGGATTATTTTTTACAGTGTGGATACAGGCAGAGTATGGGTTCTTCCATGTCCTCTCGATCTCAGTATGAGATCGGGAAGAAATGAAAGGCTCACCTGAGCTGGTGGTTCTATGACCGGGGAAAAACCGCTCTCATCGCGAGCGATTTCTCCCCCAACGAGCAGCCACGGCAGCTGCAGCCTGCCCGCGGCGCGTTCTATAATACCAACCAGCTCAGCATACACGGGGCAGGGTGGCTGAGAAGATACAGGAAAATATTTTATTATTTCCACCCTCATCAGCCATCTCCTGTTTGTCCGGGAGAGCGCTTGCTGCCGGACTAAGTTTTCCCTTTTTTTCTTTTTTGAAAAACTTCATCCAATTGCAGCTTCTCATCAGCCGCCGCATCGTCTGAGAGGATTACACCCCTCTCAAGGCGATCGGCGAGCTTCATCTGCGACATCCAGACGCTGAACCCTCTTCTCTCGAGAAGAGGGACAGGCACGATCACAATTTGTACAGGCAGTTCCCTCGAGAACCGCCTGTGCGCGTCTTCCTTCCCAGACAAAAAATGCACAGTTCACGTGTGTCACCCGGCTACAAATATCTTGGGCACGGGTCTGCACACTACTGAAAGCATTTCATAATTACCTGATTTTCAAAGCAGTTACAGACAAAACAGTCCCTGAAGACGAAAAGGTGATTTGTCATGTTTGCAAGGCGCCCTTATATACTTCCAGGTCGCACGTTAATCATTCACGCTAATGATTCACGGGCTGTCGCCGGTCAATGTGATTGACGTGATTTGATAGTGATTTCAGACACCTGTCACGCCTGAGGCGTTCCCCATAACGTCGATGACGTATTGTTGAGTTCCCTTCGAAAGGGAACGTTATAGTCCATTGATCTAGGCTGAATTTAAGTCACAAAAAATAGTGATATGATCTGAACAATATATATTTTCAAGGTGGTTCTTGTGAATGCAGTTTGCATGAATTATTGAAGTTATAATATTAGGTATATAATTGAGAATTGTTTTATGTAAAGAGATATGATAAAGATCATATTTCAATTTGCACACAGCTTTTATATTATATATTTTAAGTCATAAAAGTAAATCGACAATACGGAAAAGACGTGTGCAATTAAGCCTGCAAAGAATGCTGTCTATCCACTGGTGTAAACAGAAAATAAATATGCTGTCTATCCAGAGGTGAAAATATAAAATGAATATGTCTATCCAGAGGTGAAAATCTAAAATAAATATGTCTATCCAGAGGTGAAAATATAAAATAAAAATGCTGTCTATCCAGAGGTGAAAATATAAAATAAATATGCTGTCTATCCAGAGGTGAAAATATAAAATAAATATGCTGTCTATCCAGAGGTGAAAATATAAAATAAATATGCTGTCTATCCAGAGGTGAAATATAAAATAAATATGCTGTCTATCCAGAGGTGAAAATATAAAATAAATATGCTGTCTATCTAGAGGTGAAAATATAAAATAAATATGCTGTCTATCCAGAGGTGAAAATATTAAATAAATATGCTGTCTATCCAGAGGTGAAAATATAAAATAAATATGCTGTCTATCCAGAGGTGAAAATATAAAATAAATATGCTGTCTATCCAGAGGTGAAAATATAAAATAAATATATGTCTATCCAGAGGTGAAAATATAAAATAAATATGCTGTCTATCCAGAGGTGAAAATATAAAATAAATATATGTCTATCCAGAGGTGAAAATATAAAATAAATATGCTGTCTATCCAGAGGTGAAAATATAAAATAAATATGCTGTCTATCCAGAGGTGAAAATAAAAAAATAAATATATGTCTATCCAGAGGTGAAAATATAAAATAAATATATGTCTATCCAGAGGTGAAAATATAAAATAAAAATGCTGTCTATCCAGAGGTGAAAATATAAAATAAAAATGCTGTCTATCCAGAGGTGAAAATATAAAATAAATATGCTGTCTATCCAGAGGTGAAAATATAAAATAAAAATGCTGTCTATCCAGAGGTGAAAATATAAAATAAAAATGCTGTCTATCCAGAGGTGAAAATATAAAATAAAAATGCTGTCTATCCAGAGGTGAAAATATAAAATAAAAATGCTGTCTATCCAGAGGTGAAAATATAAAATAAATATGCTGTCTATCCAGAGGTGAAAATATAAAATAAATATGCTGTCTATCCAGAGGTGAAAATATAAAATAAATATGCTGTCTATCCAGAGGTGAAAATATAAAATAAATATGCTGTCTATCCAGAGGTGAAAATATAAAATAAAAATGCTGTCTATCCAGAGGTGAAAATATAAAATAAAAATGCTGTCTATCCAGAGGTGAAAATATAAAATAAAAATGCTGTCTATCCAGAGGTGAAAATATAAAATAAAAATGCTGTCTATCCAGAGGTGAAAATATAAAATAAAAATGCTGTCTATCCAGAGGTGAAAATATAAAATAAAAATGCTGTCTATCCAGAGGTGAAAATATAAAATAAAAATGCTGTCTATCCAGAGGTGAAAATATAAAATAAAAATGCTGTCTATCCAGAGGTGAAAATATAAAATAAAAATGCTGTCTATCCAGAGGTGAAAATATAAAATAAAAATGCTGTCTATCCAGCGGTGAAAACGGAAATTAGCGGCAAAACGGAAATGACGGAGAAAACGGAAATGACGTAGGCTGTCCATCCACTGGTGTCCAGCCACTGGTGTCTAGCGAGAAGTGAGTCTGCGGGGCTGCAGCTGGATGCTATTGCGCTCAGCGCTCACGGCACCCCCGCCCGCTCGCGATATTACCCCGCCCCCCTTCTCCATGAGGGCGCCTACTCTAGCCTGTTAGTCCTCTAAAATTTTATATAACATTGAAGAAATGCAGAAATGATTTAGAAACGCACAACAGCAGCTACATATATAAAATACAATATGTATATATATATATATATATATATATATATATTTTTTTTTACCATCGCTTTGGCGCCCCCCATGGTGCTGCGCCCCTATGCGCCGCATATAGCGCATACCCACTTTTTGCGCCACTGCACCCCCATACACAAAAATAAACATGATAAGAACATGTTTATAGACAAGATCTAGATAGAGAATCCGCAATAACATTATCTGTGCCCTTTTTGTACTGGATGTGCAGATTAAAATCCTGACAAATTAAAGCCCAGCGCATGAGTCTTTGATTTTTGTTACAGAACTTTTGCAAAAATACAAGAGGGTTGTGATCAGTAAAAACTTCAACAGGTTGTGAGCTTGAACCGATATAAACTTCGAACTGTTGCAAAGCTAGCAAAAGGGCAAGGGTTTCTTTCTCAATGGTACTGTAGTTATATTGATGGCGATTAAACTTAGAGAAAAAAAAAAAACACAATGGGTGATCAATTCCATTTTCATCTTCTTGTAACAGTACAGCGCCTGCACCGGTTCCGCTTGCATCAACCTCAAGTTTAAACGGTTTGGTGAAGTCAGGAGTAGCTAAGACAGGAGCACAACATAAACTCTTCAAAGAATCAAAAGCAATCCGACACTAAGGGGAGACCACAAAAAAGTAATTGCTTTTCGGAGGTTATCAGTAAGAGGTTTCACTACATCAGAAAAATTCCTACAGAAACTTCTGTAGTACCCAGCCATGCCAAGGAAACCTCGGAGCTCCCTCTTTGACTGTGGTATAGGGAAATTGACAATGGCGTTGACTTTGGCTTCTATTGGTCGTACAGTGCCCTGGCCTACTTCCTTTCCTAAGTACTGAATAGTAGCATGACAAAATTCACATTTAGCAAGATTGAGGGTTAGATTAGCTTCTTGAAATCTAACAAACACTTCCTCTAATACCTTCAAATGACTCTTCCAGGTCTCTGAATAACACACAACATCGTCCAGATATGCCTCACAATTTTTAACATTAGACAGTACTTTACACATCAAACGTTGAAACGTTGCTGGAGCATTAATAATTTATAAAAGCTTCCAGTATTTACTTCTCATCACATGCACTTTTTCAAATCATGTGTAATTATCTTTATGAGCAATCTAACAAATTCGGTATAATTTATGTCCAAATTTAAGGCAGTGCTATTTCATACTAATGCTATTCAGCAATTAAGGGTTACAAAGAAACAGTAAGTAATATTTGGATAGTCCTGAGTGCCATGATGTAGTCAGAAAGAATACTAATGGGGATAATTATGATGAATGGCAGTTATTGGAGAGATGCTGCAGACAGTGTTTACATTAGAGTCCTACACTGAGCCTGGGGGAAATTACTTTGTTTGTTTGCAATTATAATAATGGCATCATTCAGTTATTTTTAGATTAATTGAGCAGACAGGTACTATTTCACATTTGAATTAAGGGGACACATTACTTGCAAGAAACAAATCATTTTTAAGTTGATAATTATTGTTGAGCATATTTTTCAAAAGAAGTGTGAAATAATTTAGGTTTCTTTATTTACATTTGAGATAATCACTGAGAGAAAACTTGCAAATATCCTAAAGTATAAGGTCGTGAATCTGTCATACTGGAATAAACTGCAGATAAAAAGCTGGTCTGATCATAAAAACAATTTCTCTAATAAGGTATAACTGCAGTCGCACTTTGACTATGACAGATATATTTCTTTATATTTCATGGTGTTATATTTTTACCCTGAAGTAAAACAGCTAACAGCACTATAGATCACTGGATTAACATCCGAACAGAAGCAGCGCTTTAGGGAGCTGGTTATTTTTGTCTTTGTGTTCTCTGTAGTGTTGTTGCACTGATGCTATTTATGTCAATTTGCCTGGCTGGACATTTACCTCAGGCTCTAGAAGTGAATGAAAATCTATACCAATTAATTATACAGCCAAAAGAGACTAAAGCTGCCAGCTCAGTTCTATTAGAAACCTATTGCACTGAGATTTAGGGGTGTTTAGCTGTATTGTAGATGCCATAGCAACCAAACTGCAATTACTGTTTCAACAACCTAGAATATGAGAAGAAAACATAAGAAAACGCATCACAAGACAGATTTCCTGCATGAGCTCTTGAATGAGAAAAATCAGGGATAGGAAAGCTCTTTAGACATTTGTTCGTAATCACTAATAACATGCTGTGGATTTGAATGCTATGGGGTTTGATGTTCATGTTGTGCCAATAATATTAAAGAAAATATATCACTCAGATTTCCCCCAAATCTCCTTTTAAGGAAAATTATTCAAGGTATTTCATTATCCACAATCAAACATAGAAAGTCAATTTTTTTTTGTTTCATAATGGATTCCAAATGAAATATATTCCACATGTCTGAAAAGATTATTTTTTTAGGGCTCAACATTTTTAAGATTTAAATCAAAGACTTTGTAAAAGGCCTAATCCATAAATCAGCTGTAAAAGTCTTCTGAAGATACACGATTGCTTTATGATAGATTTAATTTAGGCTTTTATTAACATATAAACATTGATCAATGCAAATAAATAGAGCATGTAAAATATGGTTAAAGGACATTCATTTGTGTGTGCTTGTTTGTCACAAAAATAATTGAATGTATGTTCTTGGTCTTACTGTGAACAATTGATTGGTGTGTGTTATTCCAAAGAGAGGGAAAAAACAAAATGATGTTGCTCTTCCTCTGGGTTGCAAATGGCAGTTCATGTTGACTTTATCCTTAATCAATATTCTTTACGATGCACAGCACAACTAATCTAACTTCTCCTTAAAAGAGTAAATGGGTCCATAAAAACCTTATGGAAAAAAAATCAATGACACTACCAAATTCAAATTTAGAAAAATTAAGCGACGGTGGACAAGAACTGGAAAATGCTAAATCACTCAGATGTTCAATGCTGTGATATTTAACAAGAGAGCGAGACAAGAATGATTAACATTTATATTCTCAGTGCAGTTCTGCATGGTTGAGAATATTGATGCTCAGGCAGTTTGTGAATTTTTAGATTGAATTATTGCATGCATTAGTCTGGTTCCTAAAAGCTGCCCTGCGAAAGATCATAATTGCTGTCTCACTTCGAAACAAAACCTGGACTAAATGCTGATTTTCTTATGTCTCTGTTTCTTATGTGAAAAGTGGCTGGCAGGTTACAACTCACTGATTAAAACTTTTACTGTATATAAGGTCCTTATTACATTCATTACTAATTATCATGATCACAAGATAATGCATACTACATCATCCGAACATAGCTGTACTCCATCACATGAAAGCGTGTAATATAAGGGAATAATTCTAAAATACCAACCTTGTAATAGGCTGTGTAAGACAGGCATGGTGATGCTATCAACACCCGACAACAGACATAATCAGATCTTATGGCCTACAGCAAAAAAATAAATAAAAAAATGCAAATATTGCTATGGGCATTATTCAGTTTATTCTGTTTAAATTGAATAGGTCTGGCAAAAAAACGGGATGTCTCTTATTTTGATTGTTGATGTCATGTGTCAATTTCTACCTGATGTCGATCAGGAGGAGAGACATTTGTCCTTTTGTTGATTACATTTCCTGACATTTGAAACCCTCTTTGTATGTAGCCTACCCATACCATCTGCAAAGCTCAGCTGACAATAGAAAAAAGCTGAGAAAACAATGTTAAATAATTAAGGATATCATGATGACACTATACATGAGTTAATTAGCTCCATATTACTGCAGTTATTGGAATAAGAAAATAGATAATTGAGTTCTTTTCATGTCAGTATTTAAAAAACCCACTTCGTAATAACTTTCATTAACATTAGTAAAGATGATTAGCAAAACATGTATAGGTGCTTAACAGATAATTAATGTACTTTCAAAGATTTAAATGTCAAGATCCTTATGAAATATGAATTAACATAATTAAATATTCATAAACCTCTTATCTGTTATAGTTGTCATTTTAAAGCAAACTGTGGCTCATTATGAAGTCCGATGTCAATCAACAATCTCGCGAGTACTGGTGGATTTGCGCACGTAGATCATGCAGAGGCAGCCTGTAGACTCCCATCAGACTCTCAGGGAAGCGGTCCTTTCCCTTTCAGTGCATCAAATTCATTCGGACTCTGTCGTAGGGTTATGCACGTTAATGTTGGCATGGATTTGGTCTGTTTTTTTATTCTTCTGGCAGATATACGTAGCCTACGTGAGCTTATGTGGCATGAAACTTCACAACTTAAAGGTAAGAAACTTTCTAAATTAAGTGCACTTTTGCACAACATATTTTGCTCGGATCACTAGTCCAAGCTGTAACACTTCTAAGTTTATGTATGTTTTTTTTTTAAATCTATGTGATTTAATGACCGCGTAGTAACAGTAAATTAACACTAAGTGCAAACGTGCATTTAACATTATATATATATATATATATATATATATATATATATATATATATATATGCAATATTCTTTTTGCAGATGATAAATAGAAATTCAAACAGATGAATGCAATGAACCTTTGATTCATTTATTTATTTATATAAAATATAAATCAGCATGTTTAGCATCATTAACCTCATTAAATAATAAAACGCAATGCATTAATGCATACCATTTTTATGAATTAAAATAAGATCCACTTTATAATACTTTATTTTAAAGTGACATGGTTACACGTTACATGTGCTTACTATAGTAATAACAGTAAATTATGCATACTTACAAGTAACTAACCCTAAACTAAACCGGGATGTCTCTTATCCTTGTATCTACATAATGTATCCTTCTTAAAAATGTTGTTCACTGAATGCTATAAAAAACAAAAGCAGGGCATCCAGCATCTTTTTTTAATACAAAATAGTTAAAAAAAAAATTTATTTTCACTTAACATTCTTTTTTTTTTTCAGAGTAAGTGACAAAAGTGAACAAATGCTAAACATGGATATAAGAACCGAAGCAAACACATCTGAAGACGAGACCCTGAACTCCTTAATTCAGTCCACAAACTGTTGTACACCAGCCACTATCCAAGTTGAGGGTGTCTTAGATGGTCTGGAAGACAGTACAAAACTGGTGGGTGTTCAAGTGATCTTGATTTTGGCTTACAGCACCATCATCGTCTTTGGCGTGACCGGGAACTCTTTGGTCATATATGTCGTGTACAAGTTTAGAAATTTACACACGGTTACTAACTATTTCATTGTCAACTTGGCTGTAGCAGACTTGTTGGTCAACACATTGTGTCTCCCTTTTACTTTGATGTACACTCTCTATGGAGAGTGGAAATTCGGGCAGGTGATGTGCTACTTGCTGCCATACTCACAAGGCTTAGCGGTCCACGTTTCAACCATCACGCTCAACGTTATAGCGCTGGACAGGTACCGCAGCATTGTCTACCACATGGAAACCAAGATGTCCAAAGACATGTGCATAGTGGTGATTGCGATCACATGGGTGGCAAGCGCGATCCTTGCCAGCCCTCTAGCTATCTTCCGTGAATATGTGACCTTCGACCTAACTCCTGAGCAGACAATTCAGGGTTGTGCAGAGAAGTGGCCTGGAAGTAGCGCGGATGGGACAATCTACAGCATCGCCATGTTTTTCCTGCAGTACGGGCTGCCACTGTCTATCATTTCTTTTGCGTACACTCGAATCTGGAACAAGCTAAGAAATCACGTCAGCCCCGGCGGTGGTCGTAGCGACCGCCATCAACGGCGACAGAAGACGACGAAAATGCTGGTGGCTGTAGTGGTGGTCTTTACCATTAGCTGGCTGCCCTTTCACGGTTTCCAGCTGGCTGTGGATATTGATAGCAGTGTATTGGAAATGAAAGACTTTAAATTGCTCTATACAGCTTTTCATATTGTGGCCATGTGCTCCACCTTTGCCAATCCCATCCTCTATGGCTGGATGAACAGAAACTATAGAAGATCTTTTGTGGTTGTTTTCAAGTGTGGAAGGTTAAACAACGGAATGAGAAGAGTTTGTAGCAGTGATGCAGTAAGTGAGAAAAGTACACGCAATAAGCAAAACGCAATCAGTGTAGCCTTTAAACAAGAAAACACTCTGCTGTGATGGCCATTTGCTTTTTGAGATTTCAAAACAAAATGTAAACATAAGGAGAAATATTCAAAAAGTCTACTGGACTGTACGTAAATCGGAAGACTGAACACTACAAATATATGAGACAATTGTCGTGAATTTGTGACTAAACACTTAGTTTGGAATGTTGTATTTTGTTGTTAAAATGTAATGTGTATTTGGTTATATTCGGAATTAGCATTTGATCTGTAAAAATAAAAAGTCAGTGAGACAGGGATCTCATGTTAAGTATATTCTAGTTTTTCTGTTTGTTTCCTGTGAAAATAAAGGGGATTTTATGCAAAATGGTTGTCAAAACATTAAAAAGGCAGCAGTAGGAAGACATCAGGGCAAGCTGGAATCAAGTGTTTGCATTTGATCCCGTCTATAAAAAATAATTTCTGACAGTGCAGTAGTCAATTCTTAATATATATATATATATATATATATATATATATATATATATATATATATATATATAATATATATGGTTTAATTTATACAGAGAAATAAGCACTTAAGTCAAAGTATTTGCTTGGTTGTCTGTACAACTCACTGGAATTTAATATATTGGGGCCTTGAAAGCTGGTCTGAAACAAGTTTACCAAAAGTATAAAAGGTTTATTAAAACATGCATGTGAATCAACAAATTCATTGGGCAGCGAGGCAGCAAGCCAGCTGCTTTCGGTTTCAGACACCCCATGTCCCGCAGGTAATTAGGTCCCTCTTCAGTCTTATGGTAACCCTCTTTCCCTGAAGGAGGGAACGGAGACGCCACGTCGAGAACGACGAAGAGGAATCTCGCTAGAGAGGCTAATCTACTTCGAGTGAAACTAAACGAGCCAATGCACATTGGCGTGCAATCATTTGCATCAGCTGTTCAGCCACGCAGCACAGGTATATAATGAGCAGGAGGTGCGATTGCACTTCAGCTTTTTGCTTCGGAGCCGAGCAATTCGATGCAATTTTCTACAAAAAAGAGTGTAAATAGACGAGTTCTGAATAGGAGGATCTCTCGTGGCTGGTGCGGGCGATACAGCGCGGCAGTGGGGTTGACTTTTCTCTCTCTCTCTCTCTCTCTCTCTCTCTCTCTCTCTCTCTCTCTCTCTCTCTCTCTCTCTCTCTCTCTCTCTCTCTCTGTGTATTTTGTTGCTTTTAAAGGAACACACCGACTTTTTGGAACTTTAGCTTATTCACCGTATCCCCCAGAGTTAGATAAGTCCATAATACCCTTCTCATCTCCGTGCGTGCTGTAACTCTGTCTGACGCACCCACCGGTAGCCTAGCTTAGCACAAAGACTGGAAGTAAATGGCTCCAGCTAGCATACTGCTCCCAATAAGTGACAAAATAACGGCAACATTTTCCTATTTATATGTTGTGACTTGTATAGTCACAGTGTGTACAAATAACAAGGTCACATGAGACACAGCTAAAGTCCCAAAAAGTCGGCGTGTTCCTTTAAACTGAGCAAAAACAAAAGGGCTGTTTTCACAGCTGGTAAGGTGCACCATGAGAGTACTGAAAGGCCGTTCTTACTGCTGGTAAGATCACCAGTGAGAGAGACGACACGACAGGTGCACATTCCTGTCCGTGTTAGCTGCGACCGTTCCCCTGCGTGCTTCAGCACCAAGAGAGCTTGGTGGAGCAGAAGAAGCATCCCTAAAAGAGCTTATACCGGTGGAGCGCGTCTTTTTAAAGATGTCACTCTACCTGTGTGTTTCTGGATGCGGTCGTTACCTGGGATCGCGGGATGGTTACGAGCGCTGCATCGGGACCTGCACGAGAGTAGTCATGATCCCCAAGTTCTTCAGAAACTTCGTGGCACGACGAAGGTGGCTGGTGACGAAGTTCTCTGACTCTCATCCGCCTCTTTTATCGCCAGCGGGCAGCAGCGTGCAGTTCGAGAACGCAACCAAGCCTCCTCCTGCGCCTCCTGCCCCGTGGAACCAGGTAAGTGTTCCACAGCACACTCAGACCCCGCTACGGGCCGCCTCCCAGAGAGAGCCGGTATGCCTACGGTCCCTATGGTCCCGCTTGTACGGTCTCTGCGAACCTGGTTAACGCTCCCTAGTCCGTCTCACTGACTCATTCGGACTATCAGGCTCGGCTATGCGATTCAGTTCGCCTGGCATCCCCCCAAGTTTCGGGTCATCCACTCCACTACAGTGAGAGCAGCCGATGCTCATGTCTTGCGAGCGGAGATCGCAGTCCTACTGGTTAAGGACGCGATAGAGCCCTCCAGCCGATAGGGGGCTACAGGCTACTACAGTCCCTACTTCATTGTACCCAAGAAAGGCGGTGGGTTACGACTGATCTTGGACCTGCGAGTTTTGAATCGGAGTCTCCACAAGCTACCGTTCAAAATGCTCACGCAGAGACGCATTTTCGAATGCATCCGTCCCCGAGATTGGTTTGCAGCGATCGACCTGAAGGACGCGTACTTTCATGTCTCGATTCTCCCAAGACACAGGTCTTCGCGAAAGTCACGGAGGGGGCCCTTGTTCCCATGAGAGAACAGGTCGTTCGCATCCTCAACTATCTTGACGACAGGCTCATACTAGCACACTCTCGAGATCAGTTATGCAAACACGGGGACCTCGTGCTCAGGCACCTCAGCCAGTTGTGTCTTCAGGTCAACTGGGAAAAGAGCAAACTCTCACCCGTGCAGAGGATCTCTTTTCTCGGTATGGAGTTGGATTCGGTCAGACCCCTTGTTCCTGCGGGCAGGAGTGCCTGAACAGGTGTCCAGGCATGCTGTGGTGTTCACAGATGCCTCTGCCACAGGCTGGGGTGCCACGTACAACGGGCATGCAGTGTTGGGGGTGTGTACGGGCCCCAAACTGCATTAGCACATCAACTGCCTCGAGTTGCTAGCAGTACGTCTCGCTCTGAGCTGCTTAAAAAGGCTGCTACAGGGCAGGGCAGTGCGGGTCTGTACGGACAACACTGCGACCGTTGTGTACATCAACCAACAAGGTGGTCTACTCTCCCATCACATGTTGCAACTCGCCCGCCATCTCCTCCTCTGGAGTCAGAAGCATCTGATGTCGCTTCGGGCCATGAATATGTCCCCGATGTGCTCAACCGTGTGGCCGACGAGCTATCACGAGCTGTGCTCCCGGGAGAATGGCGACTCCACCTCCAGGTGGTTCAGCTGATCTGGAGAGAGTTTGGGGAGGCTCAGGTAGACCTGTTTGCCTCCTCAGAGACCACCCACTGCCAGCTGTTTTACTCCCTGACCAAGGGAACACTCGGCACGGACGCACTGGCACACAGCTGGCCCAGGGCCTTCGCGGAGGTTCTAGGTGACTTTCCCCCATCAGGTACTTAGGTACTTAACACCATCACTTCAGCGCGGGCGCCGTCTACGAGACATGCGTACGCCTTGAAGTGGAACCTGTTCGTCGAGTGGTGTTCTTCTCGCCAAGAGGACCCCCGAAGATGTTCGATAGGGTCCGTGCTTTCCTTCTTGCAGCAAGATGGAACAACAGTGACAGATATACTCTGTGTAAGCCCTCTCCTATCGTCCTTCCAGGGAAGAAGGGGCAAGAGGCTTGCATAGGGTGCTGGATTCGGTCAGCAGCTGTGGCCCTTTGGTAGGGATTCCTATTCGTCCTTATCGTCGGTCTCGACGTGGCGTTGACTGACCGACTGAAGAGGAAAGTCAAGGTTACATATGGTAGCCCTCGTTCCCTGAAGGAGGGAACGGAGACGGCACGTCCCGTCGCCACATCTGCTGTGGCCCGCTGGGGCAGCCAGCTAATCGGCTCGGCTCCTCAGCAGTGAAGTGCAATCGCACCTGCTGCTCATAATACACCCGCGCTGCGTGGCTGAACAGCTGAATCAAATGATTGCACGCCAATGTGCATTGGCTCGTTTAGTTTCACTCAAAGTAGATTGGCCTCTCTAATGAGATTCCTATTTGTCAGGTCTCAACGTGGCGTCTCCGTTCCCTCCTTCATGGAAAGAGGGTTACCATATGTAACCTAGACGTTACATGCTCTCTAATACTGCACATTGTTCACAATAAGATGTCTAGGATCACAAGCAATGAAATACTACACCATTTTGATTCCAAGAGCGAAGTGTTCCCTTTTAAAAACCGAATAATCATTAAAACACAAATATTCTCATAAAATGATGTCTTAAGTTCATTAAACAGGACGTCTCTCTGGTGGGATGTTGTCTCAACTTTTATCTTATGGAGATTCCATATTGGACAAGGATCAAGCATTATAAAATAGATTTTTTTATTAAGTTGTAATATAGAGAGGGATTGCAAATTTTTGCCCATGCACCAGACAGACACTAAAACAATAAATAAATATGGTTTACAAATGGAATGGTACTCCTTAAGATCAGTATTCCTAATACTGATAGCCAATGGCCCTTGAAAGATCAATCAACTGACAAGAACAGACCAATCAATACTCACTGCACAACAACATAAAAATAGAATAAGAGGGTCTCAAAGTATTGATCCCGTCAATGACTGTGCCCGTCTTTGAATGTCCCAAAAGCCACTTTTATTATATCTACAATTCACAATTGAATTCCTGTCTCTGCACAAAACTATTTATCTACAGACATTATTGCATTAGGGATTTTTATTTCAAGCAGATGGCTTTTAGCCTCAAAGCTTATAGGCATATGCATTACCACTATACCGCTAAGGATTCCAGACACAGAAGGTTTAAGGTAGTTCCTAGTACTCACCTCACTTATTTTACTGTGGATGCCAAATTTCCATTGCTCTAGTGTTAAAGTCTTTGATGCCACACGCAACACAATTTCCCCTCCTACAGGGATAAATAAGGGTTATTATATACTTTATACAATAGCAGGACATTGATTGGTAGGGCAAAGGGTGCTGATGGGTATACTCATGCCCATGAGTCATCAAATATTAAAGCACCATTTATAAAGACTAGTGCAGTGCCCAAGCAAAATCAGTTTTTGTGTGTGTTTTTAATAATTGTTGGTTTGGTGTGTTTGAGTGCTCATTGTTACAATTACACAGCAAAAGTTCAGTGACATTTTTATTTGTGCATGGTAGAAAGCAAATACTGATACTGGCATAATGACATACAATAAATATGGAAAATTTAACTACATGGTTGCATAACAATTTATCATGGTGATATTAGGTGACATGTATTTGGGTCTCTGTGTACAGGTAGCAGGAGTTTAGATTTGAGTAGATTAGGTTTACATGCGTTTGAACTTTGTTGTCATTGTGCAGATTACAATTATAGAGACAATGAAAGGCAGTTAGCGTCTAACCAGAAGTGTAAAAATGCAGAAAAGTGCAATGGGAACAATATAGACAGGTAGTGCAGTACAGTATAGTGCAGTGTAGACAGTAGTATACAGTTAATGAAGTGGTATGGTGTAACATTATAACAGATTCAGTTAACATCCACAAATGAATAAGCGCAGCGTTTCAGGAGATATACAGTATTCAACATGTACTAAAGTTTTTTAACTCCAAACTTTTTCATAGAACAGACTGTAGGCATAATAGCCATGTTTTAGCATTGAGATCAGGCTATGTTTGACTTGTTTACTACTACTATCCAGTTAACGACCGATAAAACAACGTTAAGCACAACAAAGGTGAACACATAAACAGCTAACTTGGTTGTTTCAATGATGAAAAGTAAGGATGGCTTACACTGAAAAGATGGGGATTTGCCACCACGATCGGTAAGAGGAGAGTAAAGCTTGTTTAAGCCTGCATATAGCCTACATGAGCTATCCTGTTGAATAGGCAGGGCAACTATGTAACATAGCATATTCAACATCACATAGTTACAGGCTAACTTCAGCGTGCATAACACAGTAATAACTTAGCATTGAGACCAGGCTATGCTTGAGCAAACATAGAATATGTTTAGTTGGTGAATAGCATAGGCTACTATTAAACAGCTACAACGTTAAGCACATCAGAATGAAATATAATATTCATAAGTAAACAGTGTTGCTGACTTACAGATTCAGTTAACATCCACAAATGAATGACGATTCAGGGAGCAGGCTACACAGTGAAATACGAAAAAACGCTACGCTTGAGCAAACAGTTTGTGAATAGGCTACAACAAATGATGGCTGTGAATAAAATATAATATTCAGAAGTTAACAGTGTAGCTGACTTAATGTTTAGCTGACAGAGTGTTTATGTCAGAATGTTTATTTTTAAACCACAACCTTCTAAACATCTTCAATGTGCGCTATCTTTTGCATTTCTAATCCAAACGTCAAACTTGGCACTGCACTTACTCGTGCCCGTAGCAAGACACCTGTCAAGTTTGAAATCCATCGGACTAACGGTTCAAGAGATATGCGAATAACAGACAGACAGACAGATGTTCCTGTAATTTATAGATAGATAGATCCCAGGCTTTGACTACCTTTGAAGAGACCACTTCAGCAAAGTGCCTGCAAGGCTCAGAAGGCTGATTAACTGGAGTATGAGAGAAGTAATATAAGACACAGATGTACAATTTCAAGATATGTTTTATGAGATAAATAATACAATAAAGTTTAACATCAGAACGAACAATGAAAAGGTCCAAACTGTGAATGTTTTGTCAACAAGTAAACAAATTCCATAAAAGAACAAATTGAACATGATTTAAAAACAAAACACACATTTATTGTAAATAAGGTTAAGGCTTTGATAAACCTATAATGTGATGATAAAATAAACAGCACGTATTTATCGCTATCTCTCTTATCTTACCATGTTTATGATCAACTTTATGATATTTAGAAAAATATCTTGACATCGCTTTATAACTTATAGACTTCTTGATGAAAATGATATGTAGTGTTACTGCATTACATTAAGGGAATTTTAGTTTGATTTATTTACATTTCAACAATTCCTGAAATAATTATATCAAATGTCAAAAAAGTAGGTTAAATTAAATTAATCTCATTTTCCAAATGGGATGGTTTTATTAGGTGGGCTCCAGGGTGGAGGGGGCTCATCCTGAAGAATAGTCTGTATCCTTTTTTCATTTCTCTCTCGTTTTTGTTGAAACTCTTTTCTTCTCTGTAATAAAAGGACCAGGACCACATACATTCAACATCACTCAACAGAGGCAAAACAATGAAAAGCTTTTGTTTACAGCTTGCTCATTAAAAAAATATGTGATTTAAATACATAAAAAGTCTTAGTCTCAAAGCATCTGTTTAAATGTGTGTATATACGTAGGAATCTTTAGTGCTTGGCCTGACAAATGAGGACTGAACAACCCCACTTAATAGAAATATGATTGATCTGCCCTTTTCATACACATAACATACGCCATAATGACAAAAATTTAAAGGCAAATGCCATTTAAGAAGAGTTCAAGAACTATAGAACAAACTTTTTAATAAATAATAAACAGCAATGTCATGGAAATTTATTTTCTACAAATTGTTTTACAGTGCAAAATGATATGTGTGATTGGGAAATTGTGTGTAAATAAATTTCCTGTAACATACCAGCCATTTGTCGTACATTTCCAAGGCCATTTTTTCATTTTCCTCCTTTTCATATTTCTTCTCCACTTCCTTTTCTTTCTCCTTCCTGAGTTCTGCCCTTACCTTCTTTTCAATGACATCCCTTTTTCGGTCACTCCTATGTAATATGTAAAATAATTAACTGAAATTCATGTTCAAGACGGCACAGTCATTAAATTCAATCTGTAACCTGAGGCTTCACAAAGGGCACATTTACATCTAAAAGGGGTTCTATTATGCCCCTTTTTACAAGATTAATTTAAAACTCAGGTGTCCCCAAAATGTCTGTGTAGTTTCAGCTACCCCACAGGTAATATTTTATATCATGTTGTAAATGTCCATTTTTGAGTGGAAGGAAAAACATGCTGTTTTTGTCCACGTATCTAAGTTCTCTTTCACGTGTTATTGCGCTTAAACTGTGTGTTTTTGACATAACCTTCTGTGTATTTGACAAAGTTCACATAAACAGAGTCGGTTATGTATGATCGTAAACAGCAAGTAAAGAAATCGCATGTGTATGTTAAATCTGTGTATTAAAGTGAAAGCAGTGTAATATACAGTATATATACTGTTAATATGAATCAAACAACAAAAGAAAAACAGAAAATCACTCACTGCTCTTAAATTGAATTAACTTTAGAAGCTTTAATAAGAACACATTTCTAACTTAAATGCTGCTGTTAAATAGGGTTGCCACCTCCACTGTGGCAAAATCAGGAACACCCAGGGAACCGTAAAATATGGACGATCCCAAATTTTACAGGATAGGTGGCAATCCTACGTTAAATGCTCTGGAGATGAAATAAACATGGAGGACTGTGTACAGCTCACTCAGGTCGGGGTCTATGCTAATAGGGCAGAGTCTGTCACAGTCGTGGGCGGTGCCTAAGAATTTGTGATGTCACATACTGTATGCAAGAATCTGTAAATGGCTTCTTCTGAGACACTGCTAATGATTTATGGGGATTAAAAACAGATAAGTGAGTGGATTTTTACCATTATAGGGTGGTTGTGTACACACACTGCGGACACACATTTATGTTCAAATGTATAACAGATATAATACATTTTCTATAATGTATTAATCAATACATAATTGTATAATAACTTCAGCATGATCAAATGTGAGCTATTTTACAAGATTAAAGGAATAATTAGGGTATCATATGTAATTTAAATGTCTTTCTTACCATTCAGTGAAAGCAGAGGTGCAGTCCTTTTTTCTTTCCTCTTTCTCTCTGACCTGCTGTAGTTTTTCTTTTCTCTCAGTCTGCTTCTTTTCCTTTATCCTGTCTTTAAGGATACTCTCATGCTCCTCTTTCCACTTCTCAAAAACCTGCTTTTGTAAATCAGATTGTGATATCTTTATGTGAATAACAGTACTAAAATTGCATTTAGTAGTATATACTGCTGGGCTCTCTCTCTCTCTCTCTCTCTCTCTCTCTCTCTCTCTCTCTCTCTCTCTCTCTCTCTCTCTCTCTCTCTCTCTCTCTCTCTCTCTCTCTCTCTCGTGCGCATGTGCGAGCAAGTGAGAAGAGTGTGGTGAGTGAGTGTGATTACTAACTTTTCTGTAGTTTGTTTGTTTATGTTTCCCTTTCAGTCGCTCACGTTCGACGTGACGTCGACGTGACGACGTTAGGGGATCACTTCAGGGAGCCCTATCAACTTCGAGTATCTAAAGAACAAGCCAATGAACGTTGGCGTGCGTGAACGCGTCACGCGCCCCGCCCCGCAGCGCGGGTATAAAACAGGAAGCGGGCACGCGCACACACTGTCTTTCACTTCGGAGCCGAGATTCGTTTTGACTCTGAGTTTCTGCAGACTGCTGCATCGTTGGAGACTTCGAAAAGAGAATACTCTGTTCCAGTGTTGGTGTGAAGGCGCGATCAGCGGTGGCCGCGAGCATTACAGCTCACAACTGCTGTTTTCACAGCATTGCTTGTGTGTGTGTGTGTGTGTGTCTGTGTGTGTCGGTCTCGGTGGGCGTTCCTCTCGTGAGTGTGTACCCCGATTACACCGTGGGTGCTTCAGCACTGAGAGAGTTATTTTTTCTTTGTTATATTTTTTGTTTTTCAACTAAAAGAGCAACACAAGTGTGACCCTGCGTCCTTTTCAGGATGTCATTCCGCTTGTGCGTTTCTGGATGCGGTCATTCCCTGGCGCCAGCAGACGGCCACAATAGTTGCCTCTCGTGTCTGGGCATTCAGCACGCTGAGGCAGCTTTTGTGAATAGTTCATGTTCCCATTGCGGGAATATGACTATGACAGCGCTGAGATCGACTCGCTTACCTCAAGGGAGGTGCAGTCCCCTCGCCTATGCCCCGATCTAGCGTCTATTCTGGACCTCAGAATAGACCTACTTCTGTGCATGGTCAGGATGATCTGAGGATTACCGTGAGGGCTTCCCCACCGAGGCAATCTCCGTGGGTCCCTCACGCCTCACAAGCGCTACCGCCGTTGGAGCCTCCAAAGGAACGCGCTGGTCCTTCTCATGGACGACCAGCCGTGTCCTTTGGAGCTCCACCTGACGACCAGATGTCTATCGCAGCATCGGAGGGGGAGCTTCAGTCCTCTGGAGATGAAGATTCGGCTGCGTTGCCCCCTTCGGGGAGTGTAGCGTTGCCCGAGTCTGATCCAGAATGGGCGGCTATGCTTTCCCGGGCCGCCGAGAAGGTCGGGCTTGTGTGGAACCCTCCACCACGTCCCGAACCTTCTCGGTTGGACGATTGGTTTCTCGGGGTGGGCCGTGCTGGTTCTCAGCGCGCTGCCCCAGTACCATTCTTTCCGGAAGTGCATGAGGAGGTTACCAGGACGTGGACGGCGCCGTATAGTGCCAGAAGCCGTCCTAGTGGCTCCTCCCCCCTCACCACCCTCGACGGCGGAGCAGCTAAGGGGTATGTGGATGTTCCGCCGGTGGAGCGTGCCGTCACGATGCAACTGTGTCCGGCGTCCGCTTCCTCCTGGCGGGGCAATCCACGCCTCCCGTCCAAGGCGTGTAAGTTTTCGCCCGGTCTTACGGCGAAGGCTTACAGAGCCTGTGGACAGGCTGCTTCCGCCCTCCATGCCATGGCGCTTCTACAGGTCCACCAGGCCCAGGCGCTCATGGACATGAACGAGGGTGGTTCTGACCCAGAGCTCCTCCGGGAGCTCCGTGTGGCAACTGACCTCGCTCTCCGAGCGATGAAAGAAACCACACGTTCAGTCGGTCAGGCGATGTCCACCTTGGTGGTCCAGGAACGCCACCTTTGACTCAACCTGGCGGACATGAGGGACACTGATAAATATCGGTTCCTGGATGCCCCTCTCTCCCAGGTTGGGTTATTCGGCGATGCGCTCGAGAGCTTTGCCCAACAGTTCTCGGCCGCCCAGAAGCAGACGGAGGCCATCCGACACATCCTGCCCCGGCGGACCGCTGCTGCTCCCACCCGTCCGCCGGCCGCAGACCCTCCGTCCGCTCATCGCCGAGGTTGACCTCCTGCGGCGTCCTCCGCTCCCACTAAGCCTCAGCAGCAGCAGCCACCATCCAGGCCTCGGCGTGGAGCAGGCCGCAGGAAGTCGACCACGCCCATCCAGGCCGCTGCCAAACCAGGAGGCAAGCGCAGGTGCAAACGACCCTGAGACGGGCGACCCAGAGGTGGACCAAGTTGCTCTTCAGGAGGTGGTGAAGGCGCCACTCCTTCCCCCGGTGGAGGGCCGGGCGGAGAATCTTTTGTTTCCTTTTCTTTCTGTTCCACGGGCCAGTGGTACCCACATTTTCAACAAAAGAGCAATTTCTGAAACCTCTGGGTCCCAAGAGGGCGCGCTTGGTGGTCGACGACGCTATGCCTTGTCACCCTCAAGCCCCTCTTTCATCGCCAGTGAGCAGCAGTGGCTGTGTTCCGGACGCACTGACGCCTCCGCACACTCACTCTGCCCTTCGACGGAAGCAGGTACGTATTGCACCACACACTCAGACCCCACTCCGGGCCGCTATGCTGTCCGAGTCGGGTCCCTGCATTCCGCCGCGCTGCCCCACCCCGGCTACGTCTGTGATGCCGTTGGTCACGGCTCGTGCCGGGTCCAAATAACCCTGCACTGTCGCCAAACTCTCAGCTTGTGGTCGGACCCTTCGTTCCTACGGGCAGGTGTTCCCCTAGAACAAGTGTCCAGGCACTCTGTGGTCACCACGGATGTCTCTGCCACCGGCTGGGGGGCCACGTACAACGGGCATGCAGCTTCAGGTCTGTGGACGGGGCCTCAACTGCATTGGCACATCAACTGCCTCGAGTTGTTAGCAGTACATCTTGCGTTGGGCCGCTTCAAAATGTCGCTACAAGGCAAGCATGTACTGGTCCGTACGGACAACACTGCGACCGTTGCGTACATCAACCGTCAGGGTGGTCAACACTCCAGCCGCATGTCACAACTCGCCCGCCATCTCCTCCTTTGGAGTCAGAAGCATCTGAGGTCGCTTCGTGCCGTTTACATTCCGGGCCTGCTCAACCGTGCAGCCGACGAGCTCTCACGGCAGCAGGTGCTACCGGGAGAATGGCGACTCCATCCCCAGGTGGTCCAGCTGATTTTCAGGCGCTTCGGGACCGCACAGATAGATCTGTTTGCCGCCCCGGACACGTCTCACTGCCAGTTGTTCTATTCCCTGACCGAGGGGACCCTCGGCACGGATGCTCTGGCACACAGCTGGCCCCAGGGTCTTCGCAAGTATGCGTTTCCCCCAGTGAGCCTTCTGGCACAGACCTTGTGCAAAGTCAGGGAGGACGAGGTGAAGGTCTTGTTAGTTGCGCCGTATTGGCCCAACCGGACCTGGTTCCCGGAACTAGTGCTCCTCGCGACAGCCCCTCCCTGGCCCATCCTTCTGAGAGAGGACCTGCTCTCTCAGAGACGGGGCACCCTGTGGCACCCACGTCCAGACCTCTGGAAACTCCATGTCTGGTCCCTGGACGGGACGCGGAGGTTCTAGGTGACCTACCCCCAGCGGTAGTTGACACCATCACTTCCGCTAGAGCAGCGGTTCTCAAAGTGTGGGGCGCGCCCCACTGGTGGGGAATAGAGACGTGACAGGTGGGGCGCGCCAAACGGGAGGAAAGTTTCCTTTTTATGCCTTTATATCTTTATCCAGACATCCCAAATGTCCCGGGAGTTCCGGGAGTCTCCCGCTTATTGATAGCGGCTCCTTGACGCCCGCAAATGAGATCCAATCTCCCGGAATCTGGAACAAGACCGCGCACTAGAGTAGAGAGTCTACTCTCACTAGCGTCTCTCACGCGCGCGCGTGTGTGTGTGTGTGTGTGTGTGTGTGTGACTATTAATGCAGCGCGTGTGAGAGCAAACCGTCCTTATAGCTGTGTGTTGCCGCTTATTAGACCGATCACCCCCGGGGGCGACAACAAGTAACAGGAATTCCCCACCCCCAAAATAATGATTGACGTGACGTCGGCATATTAATTGTAGCGGAACAAACTTTTGCGCCCATAGATATGTAGCCTATGTTTCGCGCCGATGGGTAGCCAGGCGCACTGGAAGCTGTTTCATGCGTGGGGGCTGAGGGCTGGGTTGGAAAATATGTGACGTCATTATGTTGTGGCTTATGACAAAACATGAAATTTCTCTGAACATTGAACATGATTTGAGAGTGGCAGTATCAAGCCTGCAACCCTGCTTTGAGAAATTGTGCAATGCAAAACAGGCTCATTGCAGTCACTAATGCAGGGATAAATAGACCTGTCTTGCCAAATGGATTTGTCTTCTTTTCTTTTTTTAACAGATTGCAAAGTGGCACTTTTATTTCTTTTCTATTTTTGAGGCACTTTTATTTTCTCTATTTTTGAATTTCATGCAAGTTATGACACAGATGCACTTCATTTTCTTTATTTTTGAACTTGCTGTTATTTGATGTAGATAGTTAGTTTGTATTAAGATACAACTTACTATACTGATACTACTTGTTACTTCAATAAATTGGAACATTTTAAGCTTGTTACGTATTTCATTAGCATTGTGTCGGTGCGATGGGGGCAGGTGGGGCTTGAAAATTCCCCCTTGTCCAAAGTGGGGAATGACCGAAAAAGTTTGAGAACCACTGCGCTAGAGCCCCCTCTACGAGGCGCCTCTATGCATTGAAGTGGAACCTATTTGTTGATTGGTGTTCTTCTCACGAGGAGAACCCCCGAACTTGCTCGATCAGAGCCGTGCTTTCCTTCCTGCAAGATGGGTTGGAGCAAAGGCTGTCTCCCTCCACCCTTAAAGTGTATGTTGCCGCTATTGCTACATCACGATGCAGTTGAAGGTAAGTTGTTGGGAAAGCTCGACCTGATCGTCAGATTCCTGAGGGGGGCGAGG